CCCTTGCACACCACTTTGACACCCTATCCCTCCGTGAACCCTCTTGGTATATGGACACCGGTGCATCCCATCACATTGTCTCTGACCCAGGTACTATTTCTCATGTTAATTCTCAATCTTTATATTCACCATTATATATCACTATTGGTATAGGTTAGCACTACGGCTGTTTGTAGCCATACACTCCCCACCACCCCTTCCCTATCCCTCAAAAATCTCCTTATCTCCCCTCACATCACCCACAACCTCATCTCTGTTCGTCAACTCACTCGCGATAATAACTGTTCCGTTGAATTTGACGCTAATGGTTTTTCTGTGAAGGATCGTCAGACGGGCACCGTGATACATCGCTCCAATGATATGAGACCCCTCTACCCCCTAGGACGCCCAGTTGCTGCTCAAGCCAATGTCGCCGCTATCGATCTTCAGACCTAGCACCGGCGCCTAGGCCATCCCAGTCAAACTGTCCTTAGCAATATTTCGTCTCTTCCTACTTTTAAAAGTTATCAACATTCATTATGTCATGCATGTCAATTGGGAAAGCATGTGTGCCTCCCATTTTATTCTTCTAGTAGTGTTTCAATGTTTCCGTTCCAACTTTTACATACGGATTTATGGCAGTCCCCTGTTCCAAGTATCACTGGTTTTAAATTTTATATGTTGTTGTTGGATGACTTTTCTCATTACCTTTGGGTTTTTCCTTTAAAACATAAAAGTGATGCTTTTAATCATTTAACTTCATTTGTAGCATATGTCAAAAATCAATTTAATACAACAATCAAAGCAGTTCAATGTGATAATGGAACAGAATACCGTAACTCCCCACTCAAAAATATTTTTGACTCCTTAGGCATCCTCTTTCGTTTCTCGTGTCCTCACACCAGCCAACAGAACGGCCGAGCTGAGCGCACCATTCGTACCATTAACAACTCGGTCCGTTCCCTTCTCTTTCAAGCCCAGGTTCCCCCACTTTCTGGGTCGAGGCCCTCCACATGACAACCCACATTTTGAACATCCTTCAAACCACCACCTTACAGAACAAAACCCCCCACGCCACCCTCTTCAATTCCCCACCGTCTTACGGCCACCTTCGCGTATTCGGTTGCCTATGTTACCCCAATATTTCCGCCACCGCCCCTCACAAACTAGCTCCACGCTCCCCCCGTTGCATTTTCCTCGGCTATCCCTCTAACCAACGCGGTCTCCGCTGCCTTGACCTTGACACCCACAAAATCATTATATCCCGCCACGTCGTGTTCGATGAATCTTGCTTTCCATACGGTCAACCCGTTTCCCCCCA